ACATTGCTAGACTTATTGACTGGTTGACAGGTTGAGTAGAGGGTAATTTACTGTATTCCGTGCTCCTGTATAATTCAATTTCTTCACCATAGCTCTTCTGACACCGGAAGTATAATACTGTATATGCCAAGTTCGGGAAAAAATTCCCCAAAAAAAGACCCCCATCACAATCAATCCATTAATGGTCCAATTCTCTGGCATCATACCGCAGTTCAGAAATAGAATCAAGCACAGCGGGTTGAAGCATAAGTTTAGCATAAAACCATGGAATCTCTTGCCCTTGATAAGTGCGGCAGCTTTTCCCAATGCCTCGATTCCACAACCTTCGTCGACTATACATACGACAATAGCCAAGTTCCAAACGACGGGCAGATATACACAGCAAACACAAGCAGAAATAAATAGCAAGACGGTCGTTGAAATGGTGGTGAGATTAGCAGACATGAGTAAAGGAACAGACAATGCCACACCCAAGAACACGTACGCCATTGCGTGAAGTTTTGCATAGAATTCTGTTATCAGTGCCCTTTTCCATGTTCTCACTATCCTTAAACATAGATCTTTCAAGGATAATGTCTCGTCTTTATAAGACATGGCTGATACTAATATTGTTGCAGTAGTGGAGAAGTTCGAGACAATGGGAACAGCAAGAAGGCAAGCCATTTGCACAGCCACAAGAAGAGCAAAATCATCTCTGAGCCGTTCTATGCCAAGAAGCTCGGTTGGATTAGACCTTAAAGAGGTAGTATTCGGTGTAAATGGGCTCTGATCAGCCACAAAGCTAGAATTCATATAAACCTCGGCGATATCATTGAACAAGAATTGGAAGGAGAAGGTGAAAGAAATGAACAAGATTGAATATAGGATGAGGGAAAGTATAAATATTGAAGTCATGAGTTTTCCATTTTTCGGGAGAAGTTAGATAGATTCCTTTAGAATCAACAAGAAACTGAAAGAATCATAGAATTCTATAACAACTTGATTAGTGTTTAGAGCTATTAACGACCATATTATAATCTGGGGAATGTGCCAACTATATACACATAGAGATGTCGATTTCAAATGGGAACAATATGTCCGCCTTGTTGACAAACAAGACTAGTAGTCCAAACGAAAGTTCAGTTCACACCTAATAGATTAACGGTCTAGAATTAACATAGAATCTGATAATTGTTAAGCTTGCTTTTTTAGGGGGACGTGGCCAACAAATTTCAACTCCTCTCACATCTATAGAGCCTTACTCCCGTACACTTGGACAAACTGTTAAACTGCACATGGCCTTTTTTGATGGTGGAGGAGGCGGTCAAGTCGGTCAATAGTAGTAGCATATTGGGTTTGGAACGTGATTGAGACTCGAGCCATAAAGGTGTTTGGGTACCGAAGGTATTATGAGAATATAAAATGGGGGAGAGCAATATTATTTTAAGTAGGTAAAAATTGCAATACGTTCAAATGATACTGTGTGACATTTTATAATGGAGGAGGAGGAATTTTCACTGTCTAGAGACCCGTGGCCTTGTTCTAATGACTGAAGTGTCCTCTCCTCAGCATCACTTCGCCAATCATAGGCTGATTTGCATTTAATGTTTTCTGAAAAGTGTCCATCCTAGAGCTTAGATCTGACCACTGAAATATAAATTGATAATTTGACTTTTTTAGGTGATTTGTTGTAGAAATGTTATATCAATCAATCATAGGAAGATCTTGTACAAAAGATTTGTTGGAAGAGGTGAGCTGAGAAATGCTTCCTATTAAGCAAGGAGGCCAATTGCCTTGGATTTCTTTTTTGCAGCAAGAGCACACCTAGGCTATGGAGGGTTTGGCTCTTCATGGCACCTCGACAAGAGCAATAGATTGCCTCAACTACCTTATATGGCCTCACCTGAACCAGGAAAAATGATGATGTGGAGTGAGGACCCGATTGGACTTGTTGCTGGCTATTACACGGCCATGACCTGAAATCTTGTCAGAAGAGACGTAACAATAATATAAATACAAATTGATTTTGATTTTCTCTCGTGAAAAAAAAAAGATAAAAACAAGCGATAAATGCAACGTAAATGAAAATAAAAAAACGAACAAAAAAATGCAAATAAACGTGGTTCAAGAAACACATTGCACCACAAGAGACGGACAATTAATTAACTCATTAAACCTCAAAAGAGAAGACATAATACCTTGCCTGAATACCGATTGGGATAGGGACGTGGAAAATGNGATTTGTGTCTGAACTTACGTTTTCATCACAAGCCACTTTTGAACTGGAACTATCATTGGAAGATTTGAAAAGGGTTTTTTTTGCTGGAGGTGACCAATCTTCTTGATAGTCTGTACTAACATTTTTCCCAACTACTGTAACTACAACCTGATTTTCAACGTTTGTTTGGATTTTTGGTTCAAGACTTGTATGGTCAATATTTGCTTGGATTTCTTGTCCTGGACTTGGATGGTCTAAGTCTGTTACAGAGATGATATCAAATCTGTAACTTGATGAATTAGGTTCCTTTTACTTTTAAGTAGAAAGCTCGTTCAGTATCCTGCATTTTTTTAATGGTTGCTTCGAAATTTATCTTTGAACCCTGTGTTAATTTTAAATTGTATTAATAGTATTCTACTAAAATATGTACTGAATGGCAAAATGTTTGAGATAGGTTGGATTTCTTACAAATTTGGTTTCCTCCATCAAAGACTATGAAGTTGTAAATAATAGTTTCTCAGTTGGTTCACCAATTGCATTTGCACTGATGACATCTGAAAGCTGCACATATGCCCTAGCCTTAAAGTGAAAAAGAAATTAGTATTAATAGACGCAAGAGTAATAAAGAGAAGTAGAAAGGCCATGTATAAGTAAACATTTTACCTGCACCAAATGATGTAAAAAATGAAAAGTAATTAATTGTTAGTGTATTTTATCGAGGAATAGCTTTGGAATTGGGATTCTTGCAAAAAATACAAAGATATGTTTCTCCAAAATCAACATTCGACCGTCTAAAACAGTTGTTACAGGCCATGTACCAAGATTTGCTATCAATTTTGTTTGTTATTACTATGCCGTTTACCCAATAAAACTTTCTCTGTTACCAGTATGGATATACTTAGAGAAATTATAAGGAAAAATAAATAATATGATTGAGTATATCTTATAATATATATATATATCTATATTAGGAAATAAATACAGATTGGATAGCACACGTAACCTTAATATTACCGTTAGAAGGCGTCCCTGAAGATTTTCAATAGGAGTGAATTTACTTCGCACAGGTGGAGAAAGATTTGTGGGGCTTTTGTCCATGTATGATATTTTCAATACAAAATCATGTATTTTAATGAAATTTGTTCTTACCCTAATCAAAAGACATGAAGATAATTAGTAACTCCAATAGTGATGTGTGGAAAAATCATCGAGAGGGAAAAAAAGAATAATAAAATATGGCACTTTGTACATACCATTCTGTCATTTGTTTTATTGCGTTGAAAGGTGTATTTATGAAGAAAGTGGAACGAACTTTCGTGGACAATTTTAAACCTATATAATATCAATATGGAGAATGTGTAAAGGATGTAACATATGCCTTAAGAGGAGTTTAAATAATACAATAGAACATATCAAAGAATGATGTAACCTCTAGACGGGTTGAAAAGATGACTGACTTTTTGTCAATAATGTCTGCTATCAGCAAGCATTCTCTATCAACAAATAAATTCCAAAGTGTAAGCATCATTGTTTTGAAATTCATGTCTAGAAGTATTATATCTTGCAACGAAGTTTGGTTGCATTCTTTAGATTGAATATATCGTTTGGGCGTCATATCCACTGCAACTGCAAGTATATCTGCAAATTTGAAATGAGCCATCAAATTTTCTTTTTTTTTGAACATAAGCAGTACAAATTTGAAGGAAACTATATTTCTGTAGAATCAGTATATGATTATTTAAAATCTATGAAATTTTGTCTTATTGAAATCAGCATCTGTATCCATGTATTGTTCGAGTTCATGAAATTGTGTCAGTTGATATGTTGAGAATACAAACTCTAGATTATCTTCATTCAATTCTTCAATACGAGTTTCTCCAGATATTGTCCATTGCAAAGAGCCAGTCGAATATCTGTAGTTTGTCATATTGTTCTTCGCATAAGCTTTCGAAATAGTATAAGTTTTTCCCA